TACAAGCAGTCTTTTTGTTCCGACTTTCGATACGAAAGTAACGGAATATTTGTGCTCGGGGTGGGTTTTTTTTCTTCAGACAAATTTCGACTTTTTAACTAGCCATTTTTGACGGATATTTTTTTTACATCATTCGAAAGCTATTGTTGTCCTGAGCTTAAAGTTGAAAAGATATTGCACCTGTGATCATTTTTCGTAAAATTGTGAGAGTTTAAAGATTGCCATTTTGGCCAATTTGGGTCAACTAACGCGCGATATATTTCGCGCTATTAACGCGTAAGCGGAGAGTTAATCCGTCTTGGAAATCGTTCCAAATTGGTTGAAAGAAAATCCTATGCCGTAATTGATTTGTTGCAAGGAGCGAAATCTATCCTTTTGTACTTTATATGGCGTGTGGGGGGATGATTTTCATGAAAATTTTCAAATTTTAGAAAAAATTTGTTTCATTTTGTTTTATTTAATTTAATTTTTTAATGTTGATACTGCTCCATAAACATTAAAAGGCATTCGGAACATTCAGGGCCTCGCCCTGATACGAGCAGTCTTGTTTGATCTTTGATTCCACTCCCGTGTGCGCTCAATGGGTGAGGAGTAGCGAATGAATTTGAGCTCAATTAGAGTACCATTTGTGCAGCATAACTCTCGACAAGCACCAGATACTTAAAAGATCAAAAGAGGTACTTGTAATTTTCAGAAATCCATGCAATCACATGTGATGAGAAGCTACCTATTTCAAATTTTTTGATATATTTTAGGTTTTAGAATTTCGTTCTTCGTGTTAAGAGTGTTCCCTCGACGGAAACGCAAACTTTAGCATATTAAGTTTGTCTTAACATGCTGTAGGACTTAGGAAGTAGAACAACCAGTGATTCATACTTTTTCGGCTAAGTTTTATCAAACTTCGTCTTCACTAACCTTAAAAAAAGAAGGGCATTTTGTACTATGTATGAGTTTTTTGGAAATTACTGGTTCTCATCTTCTATTTTTTCAGTTTTTCCGTTTGCACACTCCAATTTTAATATCAAGGACATATCCTGGTGGCGTACAGCGTGACAGATCCCAACTTTCTAATGAATCGATTGCGTTCTAGCAGTCCAAAACTTGTCTCAATGGGCTTATCCGTCCCAATTATCCTACCAGCGCAGTTTTCGCTAAGCCCTCCTAGTTCCTTATCCGCCAAAGTTTTTTACAGTCTTCATCACTGGGCCGCCAAATTGTGCTGGTTACTTGCTGTTTGTCTGTATCGAGCTTCTTTTCACTCTCGGATCTTCTTGACTTGAATCATTTGAGCCTCAAGATAAGGATAAAACTTGAAAGCCTCTTTCTGCAGGGATGGTTTTTCCTCTAATTCCGTTCTCAATCTTTTTTCTCTTCTGGTAAGTACTTGGTGCGCTAGGTTCCCCCACACTTTTGGGGACAGGTCCTGATGCTAAAACGCGTTGACGATATGCTCCGGTTTAGTCGTTTTGTCTATATTGCGTAAATTTTTCTGTTTTGAGTTAGAGTCTACTTTCTTGGGCGCTGATCTAGTTAGAGTTTCCTTTTTGGCTGTCTCTTCTGTGTCATGGCCGTTATTTTTTTGCATTAATTCTGTACTCATTGTGCAATTTTGTGTCTACCAGCTTTTTGTGCCGCTGATTTCTGCTTTTTCACTGATTTCTCCCATGGTACTTGTTCTTAGGTTTTGCAACCAACTGGTTTTCGTCTCATAGTATTTGTTTTTGCTCGCCTAGTAGACAAATTTAGACTGCCCCATCTTTGATTTCGCATGATTTGACGTTTGTTGGGCTGACCTGAAACAACTCATTCGAGAATCCCAAGTCTGCCTCTTGTTGCTGCCTGCGCTGCTAAGTTTAGTCCTCTGAGTCGCTTTCCTCATTTCCTCTTGATTCGCTCCTTTTCCGTAAATTGACTTTTGGCTCTGTCGCGGAGCTCTCACTCAGTCTTAAAATCAGCTTTTTTTAAAAAAAAGTTTTCGCCTCCTCTTTTCCGATATATAGATACCCCAGTTGTCTTTATAGTTGACTCTGATTTAGACGCTATTTTCGTTCTAAGGGTTTGGCGAGTAGTTTCACGCTTTCCTTATGTCGACTTGTTGTAATAGGGTCTTCTTTGCTGTTTTACTTGTATCTTCTTCCTTGTTCTCAATGGAGCCCTTTTCCAGGAGTATAAAGTTTATTTTTTAAATTTTTGGCCTGTCAGCATGTTTTTGTCGTATGTAATTTTGGCTGAACCCGTCTTTTTTGTTTTAATTTGCGTTCACCTTCAGAAGATTTTTCAATAACTTCACTCACGCTGTTGACAGTTGCTGTTTATAAAATGGGCTGGTCTCCCTGCTTTTTATCCCTTTCCGCACATTTTAAAAGTTCTCCCGTTATTGATGGATCTTTCTGTTGCTTCTCGGTCAAAAGTGGTCTCTCCAGATGTTCATTGTCATGTCTGATACAAGTATGGTACTCTTTTGTGAGTTTTACAAGGTCAATTTGCTTGCCTCAAATAAATCGACAATCCCAACAGTGCTTCCTGGCCCTGATGTCCTATGTGAATCCACATCATTACCGCTAGTCTCAACTGCACTGGTGAATCCAGACAATTTTATACTAGTTTGCAATCATCTATGACGACCATCTAAATCCCCAGTGGATTTGTGTGAGTTCTCATTATTTCAAATCCTTTTTTGTCCTCATGACGCCCCAGGTATTTAGACTCCACCAAATAATTTCGTGAATGTAGAACGTCGTCCTGGTTTTTTTCTGTAGCCAGGTCTACATCGTTTATGTTGATCGACCTTTGTTCTTAAATATCCGACTGTTTCAGCAGTGTTTGTCTATGCCAATATCTCCCCTCATTACCCCTAAATTGAGCCTGTTTTTTTTTGGTGATTGACTTGCTTCGCCTCCGATACTTGACAGAAAACAAGAGCCCATTTTCCGCTATGCTCTGTTCTTCGTTTGTTGAAACCCACTTTACTGGTTTTTGTTTTGGTCTCGTTTTGGGATTTTTTGAGCTCTCACAATTTTTGGCTGCCCTGTATAATTTTTCTGGTTCTCACAAGGGTTTTGTCAATTACTCTACCTCTAATTGTCGTTCGTATTTATTTGATTGTTTGATATGTTCCACCTCAAAGCCATTAAGAGTTCTTTTCGGCTTTTTCCTTTCCACCTCTCTTCCGCCATATCCTCATTCCACTAAGAAAACTTTCAAGCTTTTTTAGGGCCATTGACCTTCACTCCGTTTCTCGAATAATTAATCTACTATTGTCATATAATTTCCAGGGTTGTAAAAAAAATCTATTTGCTATGGTAACAATCTGCCCACCCAACGGGTCCGTCTGTATTGAACTATTTTTTAAAATTGTTTCCATTTGGAGCCGATGTGAGAGCCTTGTTATCCACAGCTATGATAAAATCTTTAACCTTAGTGTTTTTTTGACTCGTCCAATTTAACTTTGAAAGAGTTGCTATTGCAGCTTCATTATTTTCAAATGTAACTGTCTTCTGGTCACATTTAAATTTTTTCATGAAATTTTCACTTTTTTCGAATCCATTTAAAAAAAAAATCGATTAAACTGGTCCTAAAATTTCAACTGAGCTCGCTGCATGTTTTGTGGCTTGTCTTTTTATGGGTTTGGCATCTAGAAAGTTTTAAACAGTAATCATTTTTACCGTGATCACAATTAGTGCAAAGAAACAATCGCTGGTGCACTTATCCAATTTTTCTACGTGACTTTTAAATAATTTTTTAGTTTCAATTTGCACTTTGTCGTGCATAGTTATTGGGATTCTTCTCCCTTTTTATTGCATAGGGCACAAAGAATACACGCTAGATGTAAATGTAAAAAGATTTTGAAACTCAGAAAAGTTAATTCAAATGTTGTTGTTCCGACATTCGATACGAAAGTAACGGAATATTTGTGCTCGGGTGGGTTTTTTTTTCTTCAGACAAATTTCGACTTTTTAACTAGCCATTTTTGACGGATTTTTTTTACATCATTCGAAAGGTATTGTTTTCCTGAGCTCAAAATTGAAAAGGTATTTCTCCTGTGATCATTTTTTGTAAAGTTACGGGGGTTTAAAGATTGCCATTTTGGTCAATTTGGGACAATTAACGCGCGATATATTTCGCGCTATTAACGCGTGAGTAAGCGGAGAGTTAATCCGTCTTAGAAATCGTTCCAAATTGGTTAAAAGAAGCATATTTGCCATAATTGGTTTGTTACAAGGAGCGAAATCTATCTTTTTCTACTTTGTATGGCGTGTGGGGGAATGATTTTCATTTAAAAAAAAATTTTTTTTTTTATTTTGTTCACTTTCATTGAATTTTTTAATGTTATTACTGCTCCATAAACCTTAAAAGGCAGTCGGAACATTCAGGGCTTCGCCCTGATACGAGCAGTCTTGTTCTAAACTTTGTGTTTTGTTTTCCCGCTTAGTCTGAGCTATAGCAATACACAGACTGCATAATCCAGTTGCGATATAAATTGGTCTTCAGTGACCTTGGCTTACATATATTACATAAAAAAATAGTTAATAACGTTGTTCATCAATGTTACTGCTAGCGCAGTATCAGAACTCAAACTGCACATTTGGATTAAAAAGAAGACAAAATCTGAGTTTGCATATTTGGACCGGATACGAGCGGTCGTCTCTCTGATCTCCAAAAGTTACCTTTAGAAAAGGACCTTTAGATTCAGGTGTTTGTTGCAAAAACATTTTCCACAAGTGTTTGCTGTTCGAAGTCAAGAGTTAAAAAGCTTAATTTTTCAAATGGGACTTAGGGCTGCAATGAAAGTGTTCGAAAAATGTCAAAAAAGCTGTTGGAACGTTTTTGTCTTTAGAACGTTATCATTTTATTGGCATTTGATTGAACGAGAAAAAATGAGATGTTAATAACTCTCTGGATAGTTTTTTTAATGGAGCTTAGAGTAAATGGTCTTTTCCTGCAATCCTCATATCAGAAAAAATCAAGAGTTTTTTTGTTATCTTGAGTTTTATATTTAGATGAAAAAAACTCGCGACGATTAGAGATCAAAATGCGTTTTGAAACACCGATACAGCGAAAATCAAACGTGGTGTTTATGAATGAGATGCGAAAAGAAAAGAGTTCATTGAGTGAAGTAATGGAGTTGTAAGCAAAAAAGAGAGAACAAGAAAGATCTCGTTGAGACAAGTCTACACAGCAGTTAGAGAGAGGATGGCGCAGATTTCAACCATCTCCAACTTTGCTACCGATGACGCCAAAAACAGTGAGTGTTTAAACGATTTATAATTTCTTCTGGCTCTACTAGCTTTATGTTTTCCCCATAACTTTTTCTACTATATTAATTTATTGCAAAGCTCATTTATTTATATAAGAAAGGAAATGACAAAATTAGATGATAAAAATGTGGCTTTTTCACCGATCTGTTCAAGAAGGAATCCGTTTCCTTTTCGATTCAAAGATAAACCGATAATCGCAATTATCTGTCTAAAAAGTATCCGACTGCCATTTGTCGCTAATTTCGGGTCGCTTTTAAGAATCAATTACTACTGCAGAAAGTGGTTTCTTCTTGTTCAGATTTGATTAAGAAAACGATATATTTTCCTTAAAATCTTGTGCTAACTAAGAGACGGTATAGTAATTTGTGACTTCTGAACACCAATGAAAAACAGCAGTGAGAAAGAATAAATAGCAAATAGGAGGGGCCCGCAGCCCTAATTTCTTGAGCCCCAAATCGGTTTCAAATCATTTCCAATATCCCCTCTCCTCTCTCCCTGCAAGCTCAGTCCACCAATTCTGCTCCCCTGCTTCCAAATTGCCAAATTATCCAGACAGCTATTTGCATCACTTTATCACGCCAGACAATTTATACACAGCGTGTGCTAGTCGTCATCGTCTGCATCAAAGGTTAGAGGTTAGACTGAGAATTTTATTGCTTGCAATTTTGGGTGAAATTATTTTGGCATAAAGTAGCTCTGCACTACGTTGTTTGTATACAACGATTCGTTATTTAAATACTATCAGTGAATGTGGCGAGATGAGCGGGGATCGACTCATGATTTATACAGAATTATTTCCCGCACAAAATCATCCGTACCAACTTCTTCACATTCGTAGTTTTTCTCAAAACCACAGTGTGGTGAGTAAAGTCTTCCGCGTTTTATGTTCATTTGACTAATACTTCCAACCCAATTCAGTTCAAAAGCATCCGTATAAAAATATATATCCGCTTTTTGACCACTTAATAAACAATGCATCCCATTCAAAGTTCTGCGATCAATCAAAGTATCATTATTTTCGTAGTGACTTTTTGTTTCTTCCAATTTTTCGTATCATTTCTTTCCGATTCAGAGACCCTCGAAGTTATCTCGAAAAGTAGGGAATATCTCTTTTTCTTTCGACTTTCGAAAAAGTGAAGAATATACATGCTCGGGCTGTTTTTTTTTAATTCAGACCAATTTCGAAAAAATTATTTCCTCTCGGGTGATTGATTTCTGGATATTCGTGGGCCAGCTGGGTGCGCAAACCACAATATTAACCTGCCACGATACAACCTAAACTGCTTGTTTTTTATTCTGACACTGAAAGTGTAACGCAAATTATTTATGTGTGGCCAGTTATTCCGCACTTCAAAATCATTTCAAATTGAATTGAGGCATTAAACTAATTGGCTTCATCAATTTCACAGACGACTCAATGATTAAACCCAAAAAATTGTATCATATCAGCCTAAACTTCAGTTTGCGATTATTTCGTTCGCTAAAAACTATTTTACATTATTTAAAGGGCAGTCGTCACATTCAGAGATTTGCCCTGAGACAGGTAGCCTTGTTGATGTTTTTGTTTTGGTGGAGTGTTTACATTTTCAGATTTTAAGTGCCTGAGTAGCATTATATGAGGCTTTTGTAAATGTTTTCCTTTCGGTAGAATTAAGCTTTTTTTACCGATTTTTGTAGCGAAAGTAGTGGAACGTTTGTGCTTGGGTTCGATTTCTTTCTTCAGAAAAATTTCGAATTTTTAACCAAAATTTTTTGACAAATTTTAAAAATATCCGTCAGAAGGTTTTGTCTTGAGCTTAATATTAAAATGATTTGGGCCAATTAACGCGCGATATAATTCACGCTATTGACGCGTAAAAGGATATTTGATCCGTCTTAAAACTCGTTCTAAACAGATTGAAGGAAGCTTATTTGCCATGATTGACTTTTCACTAGCAGCAAAATTTATCATTTGGTACTTTGCATGGTGTGTGTAGGAATGATTTTCACAAAAAAAACACAGAAATTTTTTTTGTTTAATTCAATTTTTCCATTTTATTACCGCTCCATAGACCTTAAAAGGCAGTCGAAACATTCAAGGCACCGCGGTGATACGAGCAGTTTTGTTTTTCTTAGACTAAACTATGGCAAGGTATATTTCCATTTGGTCAACCCCAGACATCTAATAAAGGAAAACTCAAAAAAGAAGCGAATGAATCAAAAATCTATCATGTTAAACTTTATCAGGAAGCTGGCTTGCTTTGTTGAATTTTTAGTGCTTAAGCAGCAGAAGTATGTGGTTCAACATGTTGAGACTCGAACAGGTCAAATTTGAAGTCAAAAAAGCCCAATAAAACGTCTTTACATAAATTTATCTCTATTTTAGCCGGAGTTTTTCTTTTTTATTTCGAATTAGAATGAAATTGAGTCGTTCCGTTTTGGTGTTTTTGTTCCGACTTTTGTAGAAATTGAGAAATATATCGGCTCGCGTTGTTTTTTTTTCAGACCAATTTCACAAAACTTTTCAATCCCTAGGTGTATCGATCCCTCGATCAGCACGAGCGTTGTCGTGTTTACCCACCATTTTACTACCCGCACTGACAAAAAGGGATTGAGATCGATTTTAGTATGAAAAAAATTGTTGAATTGATTGAGATCGATTTTGTGCTTTGTATGGCGTGTGGAGGGATCTCAAAAAATCTCAATACAAAAAAAAGTTTCGTTTTATTTCATTACATTCAATTTTTTTTCATGTTTATACTGCTCCATAGATACTGCTTCCAAGTAATAAACGTTACTCGCTCCATTTAATTCAACCAAAAGTCGAAAGACTGAAAAGGCCATAATATGATACATCACTTGACCGAATCTGTACCTCATTTTCGTTGACCTCATTTTAAGTTAATAAACGAACACATTCGAAGGCAAAATTTCTTCGGTGGTCGAAAGTATCAGTTATACATCTATGGATGAATCGTTGTTTTTTTAAGATGGTTTATACTCAAAAAAGGACCTACATACGAAAGGTTCAGCTCTCTACGGATAAACGCTGTTGCGCCCCTGCTAAAAAAAATACATGCACTTGCATTTTATCAGGTTGCCTCACCTTCATGCAACGAGTATGGATCACAGTGGGCCCCGACAATCGGTTGTTGAAGTAAAATAATCTTTGATCCATCATGTTCTTTACAGGCTGGAACTGTGCGGAATTGAAACAGGGCAGATGTGAGTTGAGAGAAATGAACGTTTTTTTTGTTGGGTTGAATTTTTGGAATCCAAAATTATAAGTGAGTTATCGAAGAACTTGAAAAGCCTGAAACCTGAATCTTTTACAAAATTTCAGCTATTTTTTCTAATTAACGATTAGTGGAATGAGCTGAACTTTTCCTCTACTCTGTTGAAAAACTAACGGTAAAAAGTCTCGGAAAATCTACGGAATTTGCGTGCGAAATTTTGTTCTTTTTCAATACTTTTTTTGCCAGGATGAAACCTTGCCACTAGTTTGGACCAATGAACTTGAGCAAAAAAACTGCGGTCAAATTGGAAAGTCGGGTTTGACGTAGCCTGATTGTTTTCCTGCCTGCAATTGCATTATAAACTTTTTAAATCCATGTTAAGACGGAAACTAATTGTGGTGTTGTTTTGGGGCAGTATTTTTACCCAGAGGTGAAGATCATAATCAATCATTTCGAAAATGATTGTTTAAGATTAAAATCGAACTTAACAAAAATTAAACAAAAACTTAAGCATCTACATTCAATTTATTTTGGTTAAAAACTCCTAAAAATAACCCTGATTTAGTTTTAGAACATAAAATTTACAAACAGAGCTAAAAGCAAAAATAGTAATCCCGTTATTCACTTCCGATTTCTGATTTTTCTATAAAAAATATCAAAATCAAAACTTATTGATCCAATTGTTTTTCGATTCCAATTTAATCTTTTATAATGACATACAATGGATTATCTATATCTTTTTCTATTTTCGGTCTATTTTTTCAACCCTGCATATTATTTTTGTATACGCTTATCGAGATTATGCTTCTCGTAAACATTTTCGAATGTGAAACATTGAAACTTTTTCTTGAACTGAAATTTTTTTCAAACATACTAACGTTTTTCTTTGTTCTTTCTCAATTAATTTTCATACAGTGTTTGGTTTCTTTTAACTAAAATATGAACAATTTGTTTTAGTTTGATAATTAAATTAGCTGCGGAATTTTCAAGCGCTTGAATTTCGTACCTATTATGAAAGGATCTCAATGAAACTCCATTTCGGGGCAAAATTTTTCGTTCAAAGCAACTAGAAAGTTGCAAGACATCCCACGTGCAGAAATTTTGTCATTGACAGCAAATAGTGATTCAGTTGGTAGATTGTAGGCAAACAACTGTCGGCAAAATGAGATATTGTAACCGATTTTAGGAGATTTCATGAAGAAACTATGATCAATTCCTTTTTATTATACGAGCTTATTATAGATTGGAAAAATCACAATAATCTATTGCAAGTTTTTTAAATATCTTTTATCATTGATTGAAACCAAATATAATTGTCACACAAGCTAGCAAATAAACCATCATAAACAATTACTTAAGCCCAAACTTGGATGCAGGTTGACTTACATAAACTAAATTTATTAAATTCCGTTAAATCCGTCGCCTGACAAAAACTAAAATACAAAACAGAGACACGCTTCTTAGTGTTCTTAACTAACTACCAATAACAACTAAATGTGCTTTCTTACATATGTCAATGGTTTTTCTATCAGTATTTTGAAAGTTTTTTTTTTTTAATTTTCTCGGAAATCTATTAACATATTGAGGAGTCTTTGAGCGGTCCTAAAGTATCTTCAAGAGCTTTTGAGTAATCAAGGATAGCCCTCATATATTGGCTATGGGGTCAATCAAACCATTTTTAAGGATATTTTATGTTTTTTTTTCTATAAATGCGTTGATTACCATAAAAAGATCTCATATTTTTGTAAAACTTGCAAGATATTAGTAAGATT